ATTTCCAATATTTTGCAATTAAAAAATAAATAAATAAATAAATAAAAATAAAAGTTACGCATATTAAATTCTATAAGTAACCATGCATCATGTTTAGAAACTAACAAAATTATTCAAAGAAAAAAACGGAGAAAATATGTGTAAAATTTCATGTATTGTTCTTAGATATAGGTTAAATTTTTCGTCCGAATCTGAGCGGTAATAAGAGGTGCAATATATGGTTACAGAGTCAGTTACATTGTCAGGATCGTGATGATAGATTTAGTGAAGAAGGGAGAAAGGTTTAGTTGTGACTAGACATATATACATCACGTCATAATAGACACACACATAAATGTGATTGAACACACACACACACACACACACACACATATATATATATATATATATATATATATATATATACATACACACACACACACATATATATATATATATATATATATATATATATATATATATATATATATATACCGGTGAAACATCAAAATTATCCAAATCGTGTAACACCATAATTATCCGTCCCATAATATCTAAAAAAAAAAACAAAAAAAAAACACTAAACTAATTGAGTTTCTTTAATCCAAGTTTTCAGATAAGGCGTTTAGCCATTTTGACACCATTTGTCGTAAGAATCACTGAAAAAGTATTTTGAGTTATTCAGCTAGAAAGATAACAGTTTAAAATCTTATTTGTCAGCCCCACTATGTCTTCCCAACTGAGCAATGATGAGAGGAAAAAGATCATTCAGGCTTTCAGTAATGGTACCAACATTCATACTTTGGCTTCCATCTTCAAAGTCTCTTCCAGAAACATCGTTCGATATATGTAGTTTGTTCACAAATGTCCCGCTTGATGAAACAATTGATATTTTTGCAGACTTTTTGTTGTGGATTCCGGGATGAAATCCGTTACCAATGAATAACAAACGCCAAGAAGAAATATAGGAAAATAAATGTATTAATGTAATAATATAAACTGATAATGCAGGTTAGTAGTTCCAGGAATGCGGGTTAGTAGCAAAACATATATATATATATATATAGTCTTTGGTATCGATGTATCACTGTATGACTTCTTACTGAGTCTACGCGCATGCTCACTGTGATTCTTGCTTGTTACGTTCGTTCTGGTTCCTGCTCGTTCGTCCTTCTTTCTCGTTCTTTTCCCGGGTATTCACTAGCAGTAGTATATGTATATACTTACCTGGCCTTATGCTGGGGGTTTTGACAAATATTGGATCGTTTCTTGGCCTATGGCTGAGATTCGATCAAGGCTTCGACTAGCTTGGACTGGCTCCGGCCTGGACTTGCTAGGACAAGTCATGACCAGCTTTGACTAAGCTCTGACCAGCTTGGACATGCTTTGACCAGTTTTGACCAGTGGCCTTTGAGTGGAAACACTCGGGTTTCCCACGTTAATCGACCTTGTATCACATCTTGACCTTGTGGGAGTCAAGTAAATACCTATGTATACCCTGGGTAAGTCCATTTGTGTAAAAAGGGGAGAACCCCTCAACACTTTTTTTTATCGTTGCCTCGTAAAGCCTCCGTCTTTTCCTGAGGTTGTCTCGTGTTGATAGAGATTGCTACTAAGTCTGTCACCTTCAGCTTTAATAATTGTATGTATCGACAGATAGATGGAGTGGGAATGGGTGGTCCACTGTGATTGCAAAGCTTCACTGTTACTTCCGTTACGACGATGATACATTTACATTGTTTTTTTTTTTCTCGTAGTAAAGCGGAAGAGTTCTTTTCATATTTTAATAATCTCCACCCGTCTTTGAAATACACTATGGCGGTAGAAGAGAACACATCCGGGCTTTCTCACTAGTGGTTACCGGAAATCCATCTTTTCCGGGTTATACCTTACTTGGGACTCATTTGCTCCCAAAACCAGTAAAATCAAACTTATCAATAACTTTACGCACCGTAATGTGTTCTGAGTACAGGCTTGACGCTGGCGTTAGGAAAATTAAACAGCTGTTTTTGGTTACCCTGAATGTGTTTTCGCGGGTACTATTGAACGTAATATTGTCAAGTTTAGTGGAGTTAAGGTATATGGTTCGCCTAAAATGTCCTTTATATGTTAGACGACTGTGGAATTGGTCCCGTGAGTTAAATATTAGGTTGGTGCAAAAATAATGACGTAATAATGTCGTTTTTTGACCTTAAAAAATACGTCAGAAAACGACATTATTACGTCATTATTTTTGCACCAATCTAATAATATACAGAGAGCGAGTGAGTGTGAGAAGGAGAGAGATTTTTTTTTTGACATCGCATATTTCAATGTTTAATTATACTTAATTATATTAGGTTGGTGCAAAAATAATGACGTAATAATGTTTTTTGACGTTAAAAAATACGTCAGAAAACGACATTATTTTTGCCCCAACCTAATATAAGCCAATAAAATATTCCCTTCCATCAAACAGTGTGTTAATGCCGTACTGATCCGGAATATTTTTTTCGACCAGAAGGGCTTTTCTCTCTGGCCGTAAAGATGTCTTGCCTGCCCATCAGCAGAGTTTAGTTGTTTACCAGTATAAATGTCGATGTGAGACCGGCTATGTGGGTAAGACTATCCAGCAGTTCGAGGTTAGGATCACTCAGCATGTTTCAGGCCAAGTACGTAAACATGAACCTATAGCATTCGGATGTTCACAGGCTCATGACTCCGCTGTCAGCGAGCATTTATTGAATTCTGTAGCTTGCAAGACGGACTATTCTCCGGAGTTCTTCCCTGTCTTACACAAGGCATGGACCAGACTCAACCTTGACATATTGGAGTCTGTTGCTATTATGTAGGCAGATAGAATTAAAACACAAGTTGGCTTTGATCAGGGTGCCGGTCGCCAATTCAGTGACTAACTAGGAAAATATTTTTTTGTTTCCTCCCCTAGTTCTAGTATATTTTAACACCAGTTAAAGAACTCCACAACACTTTTTTTTTTATCGTGGCCCCGTAAAGCCTCCATCTTTTCCTGAGGTTGTCTCGTGTTGATGGAGATTGCTACTAAGTCTGTCACTTTCAGCTTTAATAATTGTAGGAAAGATAGAATTAAAACACAAGTTGGCCTTGATCAGGGTGCCAATTTAGTGCCTAACTAGGAAACTATTCTTTTGTTCCCTCCCCTAGTTTGGGAATATTTTAACACCAGTTGTTGAAAATATTTTTTCTTTTCAACCAATTAGTTTTATTTGCCGATGATATTAATTTTTCTGAAGATGTGTCGACCGAAAGGTACCTAAACTTTTAATCGCTGTGATACTTTTGTAACTTTTTTTTTTATGAATAAAATATGATCCCTCATTTAAAGATCATTTTATCCTGGTGTAGCAATAATAATTTATATATATATATATATATATATATATATATATATATATATTAATAAAGATACATAATAACCATACGCTGCCGACAATTACGACTCAGAGTTCCATTCCTAATGCAATCTTCAGGTACTGAAGATTGCATTAGACATGAAACTCAGAATCATACTGTCAGCGTATGCTATTATGCATCATTATTAATATATACTTAATAGCTCTGGTATTTAATATTAATGTTGTATCCTTACACCAAAAAAGGTTGTTTTCTTACACCACCTGATATATGTATGTATTTATATGTGAACACTTACACTTACGTTTATTTATATTTATTCATTAATTATATATATATATATATATATATATATATATATATATATATATATATATGTATGTATGTATGTATGTATGTATGTATGAAGAAAAATATACTGGAAAAACAAACAAAAATCCTAATATGCGATTATGCAGTTTTAATGTTTAATGTCAACGTCGGACGTTTTGGTCTAATAGACCATCTTCAGGACATATTCATAAAACATAATTAACATAGACCATATACAATTCAACATGAAAAAAAGACGATGGACATAAAAGCAATACCAATCCAAACAGATAACTGAAATCTTTTTATAAGATCAGCGTTCCGTTTAAATATGATCACGTCGTCGTCACGTGGGCGATGTTGTGAAAACGTATTCCTAAAATTTGAGTATTTTGAATGAAAACGAAAAGAATTTTATTTTGATCTAAAAACTTATATGTACGTTTGTCGAGCATTAATCTTGCTAGAAAGGGAATATTAATATATATATATATATATATATATATATATATATATATATATATATATATATGTGTGTGTGTGTGTGTGTGTGTGTGTGCCCAAACATTAATTTATTAACCTTTCCTTCCTGAAAAAACCCTAAATCCATCTCTTATTTCTTATCTCTTTACTTCTCCCTTTTTTTCTTTTTTCTTTTTTTCCCCCATATCATTTCCGGTGAGTTAACCGATCAAATAGGTCAATGCTTGATCCTTACCCTCCTCCTCCTCAATATTAATATTGTAATAAAAATAATTTTTTTTAGAATTCTCCCTTCCCTCTCTAATTTCCACCATGTCTCTCACACTATCCCTCACCACCCTCTATGTCACCTTATATAAGCTTAATACAGCCCTTCAAAAGTGTAAATTTTAAATTCTTTTTTCACCCTTGAAAGTGAAGTCTGAAGATCCAGAGAAAAATAACATCTCTGGAGAAATAAATTATAACAATGGAAGCTTAAAGTGATCTGTTTTTTCTTTAAATTAAATTGAATTATATATATATATATATATATATATATATATATTTAAAAAAACATTTTTATGTTTAACGTTTTTTTTATAGATACAAGTATTTAAGTAAATGCTCTGTTTATAATAATTTTAAATAATTGTATCTATAAAAAAGAACGTTAAACATAAAAATGTTCAAATAAATAAATTGTTTTCTTTGTCCATTTCTTAATATATATATATATATATATATATATATATATATATATATATATATATATAAATAAAAGAAAAGAAAGAAATGATTGCATGATAACGATTAAAGTACCCATCGATTTGATGTGCTAATATGATGACACCACAACCATTTTTTTTGTGCTCATGAGCGGGCATGTAGGCATACTGACGCCTACACTTAGATGCAAATGTGTGCACTTGAAGAGGCACGGTTTCAGGTTTCAAAATTCGTCTTCCACAAACCCAACACCCGTCCTCCCCCTATTTGCTTCCGACCCACCCCCAACACGCCTCGCAGTAGTAGCTGCCTCCTTCCCTAACCTGGACTCACAGCGGTGTCCATCACAATCAAGCGATGGTACCGACATCGACCGAAAAATGGGCTTCAGGAACTGGGAGAAAGATAGGAAAACGGTTTCTTTGAGAACGGAATCATTGCGAACACAGAAATTAACAAGCCCGACAAGAACTTCAAGGCACCAATGGATTTTAAAATTTCTCCCCCCACCATTCTTTCTCCATCCCCACAACCGCCGCCGGTCTATTGTCTTCTTCGTTGCAAACTACAATACTCCTGTCCCCTTCTGTCTCGTTTCTCCACCCCACTTACACCTAACTAGCCACAAGAGTTGTTGGCTCTGTCATAATCATGGCACGAACCCTAAAGGCGTCGGTTGGCATCGCAGACTAACAGAGAAAGGAAGCCTACTTATTTTTCCCGCGTCTTTCCCCTTCGTCCAGTGATATTTTTCTTACCTTCATCTTCTCCTGCCACCTTGTCTCGCCTCCGCCCCGTGACGATATCTGAGTTCCTTATACCCACCCACAGCTTCTCGTCTAGAAAAAACCCCTAACCAAGCACAAACCTAATTTTTTTTTTCCCGCCTTTCACCTTATCACTGTCTTCAACTTTATTGTCTTGTTCGGGTGTTATTCAAGCCTGCTTCTTACAGCTTCATTTTTCTTAGCTTCTTTCTTTCGAGCTGCCCGTCCGCCATTCTTCCCTCGTAATGTTGTCTCAATTCATCTTCTTATTTATTGGCGCAATTTCAATAATGAGTCTGCTGACTTCGCCGTTCTTGTTTTTATTGATGGTCGCTTTTATTTTTTATTCGTTCATTCATTTTTTTTACCCTCTTCCTTTGATCCATTCTGAATTTTCATTCATACTTTTGCATTTTCGACACTTCCCCCTACCCATCACATGTCATTTTTAGTTTCCGACCGTCTCTTTATTTATTTATTGTTCATTTATGTCCAAATCTGTTTACCATATTACCGGCGTAATTTATCCCCAAAATTTGACGGTGAAATCTTTTCACGAATTACACACACACACACACACACACACACACACACACACACACACACACACACACATATATATATATATATATATATATATATATATATATATATAATTATAGATAACTAAACTCGTTTCGAAAAAATATTCGAATTTTTTGATTTGCTAATAATCAAATCAATCTCAGGTAAATATTTAAGGTAAATTTAAAAAAAAGATATAACCACACGAGAATTTTTAAAACGCAAAAATTAAACATAGTACCACGCTATCTACTTATGTATGGAAAACCAAACAGGTAGATAATATAGACCCCATCCTTAAATGGGAAATATTATAAAAAAATGGGAAAAAAAATATAAAGCAGGCCATAAATCTTGTAAATTATGTGCAGAGGAGAAATTAGCCATAGCTTTATATGATCAAAATAACCAGCTATTAAACTCTAAAACTGAAATCCTTAACGTATGTAGACATAAAAATCTTGGCTACTAGAATTAGACGTTTTCCCTGTTTATTGTCATTCCACCTTGATGTTTGTTTGTTTTTTTTCCCTCCCATTTTCGTTGAATAAATATTTACCCCCCCACTTAGGTTTGTGTTTGTGGTTCTTTGGTCACGTGGTATGATTTTAGCTATCGCATATATAAATATGCGTTTCTTTTGCCCTCGTTATGGGTTTACTTTCCCTGACGATCCGTTTAGGTGAAACCAAGGTAAGTTTGTCTGGCTCACTAGGTGTATCTATCTATCTATCTATATATATATATATATATATATATATATATTGAACAATAAAAAATATTAATAAAAAAAATTTCAGGCACACTGGGTTGTAGATTAATATTCTTTCGTTTTTTTTTATTATTATTTCAATTAGATTCCTCGACTAGTTTCGGTCAAAATGGCCATCATCAAGAGAAGAAATATCTCTGTTTGCTGGTAGATGGATATATATATATATATATATATATAATTTATTCGAAAATTATAATATAAAAATATTATAAAATCACCACAAAAATAGCTATTTTGTTTCAACACTTTATCAAGTGTTTTGAAAGAATATATATATATATATATATATATATATATATATAAAATATATATATATATATATATAATGAGAACGAAAATAATATAAATTCTAACGTTTACAGCATTAATTCAAAATAGCAGAAGCAATAATTATTTATTATAATTTTTACATACAGGCAAAAACAACTTACTCACTACAAAAATGCCCTCTTGTTTCCATGCGGCTGCATCTCAACTGGTGTGAACTAAAAATGGATACTTTTTTTCAAACTTTATTTCTTTTTCTTGCCCTTTTTCCCGCTTATTTCTCTTCTCTCTCTCGCTGTTACTAATCACTTCCTTTCTTTCACCACACGTAAATTCTCCTTTACATTTTATTGGAAACTTGCCAATGACGGGAGTGGAAGATATGCTTCTATAACTTGCATTTCGGAATAAAATATTTAGGTAGCATCGGGATTTCTCATCTGATGAAAAGTTAAATATTTTTTTAAAAGTTGAAACAAGATATCCAGTTTTGTATTTGGCATTTGCATGTTCTAATGTAACACTATATAATATATATATATATATATATATATATATATATATATATATATATATATAAATGACAATAGGAAAACTGTAATGAAGTTGCCGACGCGTTTCGTCCAATGTGAACTTTCTCAATACAAAAAACGAAATGAATTTATTTAAACAAAATAACTAATTATAAAAAAATCAGTTACTAAGGACATTTTGTTTTTTGTTATTATTAGTTACTTTGTTTTAAATAAATTCATTTCGAAACTTTTGCTTGAGAGAAAAAATTAACACATTAGACGAAACCTGTTGACAACGATTAAAGTTTTCCTATTATCATTTTATATAAAAAAATATTGTCTTTTTCTACAGGTTAACTATGAGAAATTTTTCATATATATATATATATATATATATATATATATATATATATATTATAATTATTTTTTTTAAATATATGATTGCGAAGTAATCATATTTATAAAAAATAAAAAAAAATAATTATAATCTAAGCTCTACTTCTGTATGGAGCACTGATTTTAAAATAAAAACAAAAATACTAAAGAACACTGGATTATTTACCTAGTTTGTTCTTTCCTAATTTTCTACGTACCTGCACACACACACACGCATATATATATATATATATATATATATATATATATATATATATATATATATATATATGAGGAATCTAAATGAAATAATAATAAAAAACGAAAGAATATTAATCTACAACCCAGTGTGTCCGAAGATTTTAATTTTTAATTTAAAAATATTTTTTATTGTTCAATATATATATATATATATATATATATATATATATATATATATATATATATATATATATATATATATATATATATATATAAAGAAAGAACAGTAAGATATAAAATCCGGTGTTCTTATAGATATTTTTATTTTTACAAAATAGTGCTCAATGTAAATTTACAGAGCATTAATATTATAAATTAATTGATTTAAATATGGTTTTTTTTCGCTACACAGTTTCAACCATGTTTCAAAAAATAGAAGCTTCTATTTTGAAACATGGTTGAACTGTGTATTTAGCGAAAAAAAACATATTTTAAATCAATTATATATATATATATATATATATATATATATATATATATATATATTAGTTTTGCTCTACTCAGTGTATTGACCACTTTTACGTTTTAATTTACTCTGTCGGTGTTTTTTTTTCCTTTGACGGGACATTGCGCTGCTGATTGATTATTTTCAAGCGTCACGGATGTTTTTAGTCTTTTCTTTTTTTTATCAGTTTTTTTTCCCCGATATCGGTTTGTTCAATATATTTTTTATTTACAAATTGTATTATCTGTTTTTCCCACCGCCCGACTATAGATTTTAAAATAATATATATATATATATATATATATATATATATATATATATTGTGTGTGTGTGTGTGTATGAAAAGTGTTTATATATATATATATATATATTTAAAGATATTTTTGTAGGTACAAAATTTAATGATCGAAATAAAAGTATAAATTTTAATATTACAAGACATATTAAAAAGTATTAAAAAAAAAAAAAAAAACTCAACAACAAGGGGGGGGGAATAAACCGGTTTCGCTCCTGCTCGTCAGGCTTCCACGGAGATTGAAAATTAAAAAGAGAAATGTACAGTAAGAATATTTAATACTTTTTTAATATGTCTTGTAATATTAAAATTTATACTTTTATTTCGATCATATATATATATATATATATATATATATATATAATTATTTATATATTATATGCGCGGTACTTATAAGAAAGCGATCAATATCAGAGATAGAACTAACATATTTGGTTGGATTGATCCAAATAATATATATATATATATATATATATATATATATATATATATATATATATATATATGCAATCTTCATTAAATATAGATAAATTATATAAAACTGTCCAATCCCATTTAAATACTCATGGAAACCTACTGGACCCTATTCGCAACATACTTGTTGATAATGCAAATATAAAAGCATCGTGTACGTGTCAAAAAAAATGGCTAAACGTAATGGAAGCCTTATTAATTAAAAGAAACACTCAATAATATCAACTATGAAGATGGACAAAATATGTTGACTGTGTTTTGAAAATAAAACATTCTATATTGTTAAATACATACATACATACAACAATTCATTTGCAGTTAACAGTAAATATAATTCATATTTGATAATGGTTAAAGGTATAGCCGAAATCGCTTGGAAAAATAAAACAGTTTTTGTATAATTTATCTACGAAAAAATAAAAAGATTATAAAATTATATGAGAAATTATATAACTTAATCAAAACACCTTATCTGTCTGTATATATATATATATATATATATATATATATATATATATAAAAAGTGAACATAGAAGTCAATTTTAGGGCGACAGTCTGTTTCATGCTATAAAATCGTCAGGCCACATATGACGATTGCATTTAGCATGAAAAAGACTGTCAAATTCTAATGTTGACTTATGTTCATTTTTATATTTACATAACGCTCTATCTCTGATATTGAGCACTTTATCCCATAAATATAGCACACCTTAAGACTATATTTCTTTATATCTGAGAGCTCAATGTAAATCCAGAGCTAATAATTTCAAGAAAACAGACCACTTTAAGGCTCCATTGTAATAGTTTATTTCACCAGAGACTTTTTAAAAGTACCCTGGATCATCACCCATCACTTCCACATCAAAAAACAAAACAAAAAAAAAAAAAACTATTACAATGGAGCCTTAAAGTGGTCTGTTTTTTTAAATATATATATATATATATATATATATAATTCATACTTTCAGTATATCAAAGAACAAACACACACACACACATATATATATATATATATATATATATATATATATATATATATATATTTGTGTGTGTTTGTTTGTGTGTGTGTGTGTGGAACACAACGGGCACCCTGAGGAGGTGTAAAGGTTAGAAGGCTTGTCTCGCTAGCACAATTACGAATGATTAGTGAGTTCGATCCTCACTGGGTGCCCCATACTTTCGGCCTTGTGCCGCATTTGTGCTACGGTTGGAAAATCGCTGGGGCACCTCGGCCTGGCGTAATGGTTAACAAGCTTGTCTTGCTAGAACAATTACAGCTGGGTAGTGAGTTCGATCTTCATTGGGTGCCCCTTTAACTTCGGCCTTGTGCCACATCTGAGCTACACTTGGAAAATCGATATATATGGAACACAATCATACAGAGTTTTTAATGATCACTAGCGATGGCGACATTATGCCCCCGTTTATCTTCCCCAACGGCATCAGACTCAACACAGGTTTATATTAAATGCTTCGAGCGGGTAAGGCTGCAGTGGGTCAAGAGGCTTGCACCTGAAAGACCCTATGTCTGGCACCATGCCACACAAGCAGGTTAACCCACTCATGGTTGTCAGACAATTTCTGCGACGACATCACCCCTAAGTTTCCAGACTTCAACCCCCTTGATTATTATGTATGGGGGCACAGTTGATCGAGAGACCTTGTAACACGAATGATGAACTGAAGACTAGGATTATGGCATTATTTACATTATCCGGACTATTGTCCTCATCTTTGTCGCCATATTTATCACAATGTTTCGGCCGTTGTACGCTCCGGCCTTCTTCAGGTGGTTGGAATGTCGAACCGGACCCTTTATTTCGCTCACTGGGGTAGACTGTTCTAGTTCCAGTTATCAGTTATCTCCTGTTAATTAACCAGGTATTGAACTCACACTCTTTGGGTTATGTCCTAGATCTAACCAACGCTTTTATCCACTGTGCCATGTGTCCTTGAGGACATCTGTGTATGAATTTCTGGGTATTATAAACCTAATGTCTTCAGCAACCATTTTTGCAAGTGCTCATATTGCAATTTTGCTGTTATCATTGCATGTTCTTTACCAGAGCTCATATTGCAACTTTGTTGTTATTATCGCTTTTCTCTGGTACTCCTTATTACTGGCTCCCATATTGTATTTATTTCTATGCTTGGTCGGCTCAGGAGATTTTTGTGGCCTAGCATATGTGCTGATTCCTTAAGTTTACGAATTTTCCAATGGTGTTCCTTGTCTATAATCTCAACTTGATCCCACAGAGGGCGGTGATCTCCCTTCTCTCTCCATATGTGGTCAGCCAGATATTGAAGCATTATGGCAGCATTCAAATGCTAAAAAAAATCAACAGCATAGAAGTTAGAAATGTGGGTGGGAACAAAATCTACGAAGACATTTTGGGCAGTAATTATATTTTATTTTATGGAAGATAATGATTAACCATAGATTTGGTCAGATTAGGATTGTAATAATCAGAAAAACATCCTCTTGGGAATCGGTTCCACAGAAGAACGACTGAATCATTGAAATTCTTCCTTCGTAAGAAGTTGTCTAAATGTCTGAATATATTGTAATCAGTTGGCAAGAGGTCAGGTGAGTCAGGTAGATGTGGTAGAGTTTCGTAGTCCAGTACATTCAATTTCTGTAGCGTTCGTGAAAAAGGATTGGGCCTTTTTGTTATCAAGTGCCAAATTGCTTGATTTCTTGGCAATAATGCTCGGATTGTTCCACCAAGGTTGAGAAAGCTGTGGTGAATCAACCCATCTTTAGACCCCTCCAACAGATTCAGCATAAACTTCTTTTGGTAGAAGTTAAGTTTTGGGGAGTTTTTAGGACCGGAGTCGGCAACCTTTTGGAGACAGCTCAGTCCAGAAGGATCAACGAAGTTAATGTTATAATTATTTCAATAAGGTTCCTTGTTTTACTGCAGGGATAACTGGATAGCAACGAACACAATCAAGAAAAAGTGCAAATTCCTGACAAACGGTTCAGTTGTCGTGCCGGACAAAAATCCTCTGTGAACCGGATGTGGCACAGAAGGCCGGATGAGGCAAAGAGGTCGGGGTTTGATGACCATTAGTTTAGGAGTTTCCTTTCGATTCAACTATTGCCCTGAACGTCGTCGGTTGTCATATAATCCATTTCTCATCGCAAATCAGGAAAACATCCTCTTGGGGGTCGGTTCCACAGAACAAGTGATTGAATCTTTAAAAACCTTCCCTCGTAATAAGTTGTCTAAATGTTTAAATATATTGTAATCAGTTGGCAAGAGGTCAGATGCGTAAGGTTGATGTGGTAGAGTTCCATAGTCCAGTACATTCAATTGCTGTTTCCCGGGGACCGGATGTGGCCAAGAGGCCGGGGTTTCCGGTCCCGGGGTTTCAACCATTGCCCTGAACATCGCTGGTTGTCATATAATCCATTTCTCATCGCATGGAACAAGGCGATCGAGAAATGAGTGATTCTTGAACAGACTTCATAATGATTATTCTTTTGGCTTTCTTGCACTTCGTGTGCTAACCATTTGTCGAGCATTCTAGATTTTCCGAATTTTGCTCAAATGTTTAGAAATTGATCCAATACTTGCAGCTAGTTCTCCTTTCAAGATCTGGAACGGTGATGCGAGGATTTGCCTCCATTAATATTTTGAATTTGTCATCTTCAATGAAGAGCTGACGTCCACGTTCTTTCTGATCTTCAAGGCTGGCTTCACCACGACGGAATTACTGGAATCAACGTTGTACTTTGCAGTCGTTAACAGATCCTTATGAATATTTCGGGCAGTCCAAGCTGATCTACGACCAATAAAAGTAAATCCAGAAGAATAGCAGTTGGCAAATTTTGTTTTTTTCGTTGAATAGACAGAATGGGGCATTTTTTTTATCAGCGTATGTTCTTTTTTAGAAAATCTTTGGAGGGACTTACATCGATATTTATCACAGGATCTCTTTAAGTGGACATTCACGTTCATTAAGCCTTGAAATATATATATATATATATATATATATATATATATATATATATATATATATATATATATATATATATATATATATATATATATATGGTTTGAACTGGCTTCAAATATACAAAGGTAGCGGAAACAGTTTCATTTAGTCGTGGCTCCAGGGGCACAGTCCTAGTTTTAATAGTGATTTCTCAGTCGAGTTCCGCCACGGAATATGTGAGCGAGCGGTTTTTTGTCGAGTCTGGTTTGCAACCTCTTCGTCATTGAGGCCCACTTGGAACAGTTGTTACATTTGGGCTTGAGAACCCAAATGTCAGGGTTTCAATTATTCTGCTGATGAGTCCCAAATATAGGACAAAATTAAAGTAACGTTCCAGTTTTTCTGCATTGTGTTGAGGTTTCTATCAGACTCGATGAATTACTCATATATATATATATATATATATATATATATATATATATATATATTATATATATATATAGAGACAGAACAAGACAGATAGAGATATCAAAGAGATTGAAAGAAAGAGAATAGATTAGGATAGAAAGATAGATAAATAAAGAGATAGATAGATGGATAGATAGATATGAACACACACGCACATATATATATATATATAGAGAGAGAGAGAGAGAGGGAGATAGGGAGAGAGAGATGAACACAAACAGAAAGAGATGAGAGAGAATAGACTGAGATAGATTGATAGATAGATATCAACAGCGACACAGAAAGAGCCAGAGAGAGAGAATAAGTATAGACTGTTATAGATAGATAGATTGATACATAAATAGAGAGAGAGAGAGAGAAAGAGATAGAGAGTAGACAGATAGCTAGCTAGATATGAACAGAAATACCTATATATATATATATAGAGAGAGAGAATAAACTGAGATTTCAAAAAATTACTTTATATATATATATATATATATACAAAAGAGACGGGCGTTATAATAAATATATATATATATATATATTATATATATTAGCAGTAGAGCCCGGCGTTGCCGGGGATGTAACAGTAAGAGATAGATCAAGTATCGACCATCATAAAGACTGAAAATAAAATTGACAAAGATTATTGTTTAAGGTTGACGGACACGCATGTCTTAATTTTTTTTTTTTTTTTTTTTACGAATTGGTCAAACCCAAATTCAAACAAAAACATTGTTTACAATCGTTATGAGTCTATCGATTGGTGAATAGAATTTTATTATAAACAATTGTCTTGTAAATGGAATTTTTAAAGCATTCTGAATGTAAATAAAAAAAAAAAAGTGTGCAAGACAATAAGAAATAGAAAAAAAAAAAAAAAAAGTGGATGTTTGTTTTATCGGCTGAAAAATGTAAGAAATCCGATCCCATATATACACACAACACACACACACACACACACACACACACACACAACCAAACAACCTTTTTTTTAACCTAAGTCACTCCACGGAATCGCTAAAACATAGAGCATAGTCTGATGAAAAAAGACGCCAAAGTTTATGAAAACAAAATTTTATCGTCAAAATGCTTATTTTTTTTATGAAGAGGATAGACTAAATTTTTTTTTTAATTATTTTTAAAAAATTTTTCCATCTTTTTAGAATATTCTAAATTTTGATTTAAAAAACCCTTTTTCTTTTTCGCAACAAGGGGTAGTAAATAACATAGATAATTTTAGCGCGTTTTTTTTATTATTTACACATTAATTTGGAAAATCTTGCAAAAAATAAAAATAATTGTCAGATGTTAATGAAACTTTCAGAAACTATTCACAGATGATCGAAATTATTATAAATATTTTTTTTTTTTATTAAAGTCATGGCAGAAATATTTTTTTTTTATATTTATTAACACCCCCATAACTAATTTTATGAAAAACTCTAGAAATTCGAGACCATCGGTTTTAGTGATTACAATAGTTAAAAGCACAAGGCTTTGAAGAATGCAAATCATGTTTTTTTTTTTTTTTTTTTTTGGCCAACGTACCTGAAAATCAGCTGTGAATTGTAACATACAAAACTCAATAAAACAAATATATTATTTAGTTTCAAATGCTTTTATTTGTTTTAATTTTTTTTATGAATATGGACAATATTTTCTGAAAGCAAAAAATTTTTTCAATGAAAATTGAATTTTTAATACAATTATTTCTTATTTCTTTAATTTTAAAAAGATTTTTAAAAAAAATTTTAAATTGAATTTTAAAAAATATTTTAACATTAGTTAAAAGCAACATCAACCTTTCAAAATGTCCGTGTGAGATTGTCATTGTCTAGCGCTTTGAAAATTGTATAATTTGGACCAATCAGATTAGCCATGGTAATTAAGAAATGTAATTTTTGTGTTTATAGTCGGACAGTAATTATCAAGTACGGAAGACCAACCAGAATACAATTTAGTTGCATTATTTGAGTTCAGCATTGTTCTCCGCTGTTAAGCCCTTTTTTTTTTGCGAAACACGTATGGAGAAGTTAATTTGAGTTTTCAATTTCAACTGAGAAGGGTACCTACAAGTAACAGTATCATCTTATGAAATTTAACTACTGCTAAACTTTAATTTATATGATCTTTTTTTTATATTAATCTCAGTTATGACATTTTTCCATAAATGAAATATCAAAATTAATAATAAAATGAATGGAAATACAAATAACACAAAAATGTAATAAATGTACATAAAATTATAGTATTTTATGTACACTTTGATAAAATTTCATAAGAAAGGTACCTAAATTAATTAGATACTTTTTTTTCTTATGAAATTTAATCTCACTATTAACAGTCTTATTTTTTAATTTCTTTATATTTTCCATAAAGCATCGTAAACGTAAAAATGAAAGCTAAGTACAAAAAAAAAAAAAAAAAAAAAAAAAAAAAAATTAGAGCGCTGAAAGTTTTCCTTAAAAGTAACAAGGTAAATAATTTGTTCACTTAAATAATTTCACTTCCTTCCATCCGTAGAAAGAATTCTCCTCCCGTAAGTTATCTAAACGTCATGAATGTGCCTTTTTCGTCAATCGTCAAGCGACGCGAAAGGTTATGACCTGCTTTGTTTTATTTTCAAATTACATTTTTTCGGCGCAGAAGCTAAGTTAAGCTTGGTTCAAAATATTTTAAATAAACAGTATAATTTCTGTTTTTATTAAAATCAGTTTTGAAAAAATGATAATTGATTTTTAAAAGAATATCAAAGTAAGATTTTAATTTTTTTTTTATCAAATCGAAAAAAAATGATTGAAAAATTGATTATCTGTTTTTTTTTGACCAAAAAAAAAAAAACAATATTTTTAACGAAAATTTCAGACGTGCTAGGAACGATTAAAAAATGTAAAAAAAAATACCCCAAAAAATACTTTGATCTTTCCTCTTTAATAATAATATGAACATTAGACGATAAAATTTTGTTTTTTCGTCAAGTTCGGCGTTTTTTTCATCATGCTATGCTCTTTTGTTTACATTTTCGTGGGTGAGTTTGTCCCCTTTCATTCTCACGATGTGTCTTAATCGTGTTTTCAAATTGATTTTATTAAAAAAAACAACTGTATTTTTTCCCATTTTCGTCCCGTTAGAACCACCACAAGGTAATTTTATGTAGTCCTGTGAAGTTTTGTTGAAATCGGCTAAAAAAAATGTAGGAAATTCGATCCAACATATAAACGTTACAGACACACACACACACACACACACACACACGTTTTATAATAATAATATATATATATATATATATATATATATATATATATATATATATATATAATATATATATGAAAATAGGAAAAGAAAAAACAATTTTAATTCCTTACAAAAAAAAAAAAAAAAAATTTTTTAACATTATTATTTAATTTAATATATTTTATTAAAGATAAATTTTTCTTTTTATTTTCAAATTTAAATTTATTTTTTTTACATTGAAAAAATTATAAAATATTTATAAAATGAAAAAAAATGAAAAAAAAAAAATAAATATTTTTTAGAATTCATGCTTTAAAAAATTAAGAATATTATTTTCAATTTTCAACTATTATATTTGAATTTTATAATATTCAATAAAATATCAATATAAATAATATGAAATAATTTAGATAAATAAATAGGCAGTTTTCAAAAAAGATTTATTGGTCTAAGCTATTAATTTTATGCTGATAGATAGATATAAATATAGTTTGATTTATTATTGAAATAAATTGTTCAATAAAAAATAGGAAAATTTTTTTTTTTTTTTTAAAATTAATTTCGCCTATTATTTATATATAAAACTTAATTTAAATCTTACTAATATTTTTTTTTTTTAAAAACCACCTATTTAAAATTTTATTTATCTAAAATTTTAAAAAAATATGATAATTATAATTTTTTATATAAATCAATTTAAAAAAAAAACTAAAAAAAAAAATTTTTGACTCACTAATTTGAATCTAAAAATTCAAAAAAAAACATAAGAAATTTTAAAATAAAGAATAATAAAGGTATAATTTATTTTATAATAGGTAATAAAGTTCGAAATATTTTAATAATCTATGGGTCCTCCTTTATTTTTTGAAAACCTTTCAAAATTTTTTGGCATTGACTTGATTAGGTTCAATTCAAAATCATCTCCAAGCATTGAATTCCATTCGGATATGAAAATTTCAATCAAATTTTTTTGTTGCTCAACTTTTTTTTCTCAAGAGCCTGTACTTTATCAATATAAATTCATAATTTGAATTATGGGGTTGAGGAGAAAAGGAGATTTAATTTTTAATGTCATAACACTCACCTGCTTCTCATCAAAGTATTCCTTCATCAATTTTGATTTGTGACAGGGAAGCATTATCCTGCATAAAAATTTTTTTGGGGTCGATTTGCACCCTTTCAGCAGAAGGGAAAAGACAAGACTCTAAAATTCTTTTGTACTGCTCGCTCCTGAGGGTCTTTTTCAATAGGTTTTAAGAAACCAGTTCCATGAAAAGAAAAGCATCCCCAGAACATTATACTGAACGGATGCTTGACAGTATATTATTGCTAAATTCAAAGAGCGCAAAAAAGCTTCTTCTTCGGATTTTAGATGCTTATCCTTTTGAATTTAGCTCAACTTTCGTTTCAAAAAAAGAAGAGAACATTTAGTAAAAAAAAAATGAATCTTTTTTTATCGAACAGCACTTTTACATATAAATAAAAATATAAATATATTTTTATTTAAAAATAACAGACAAAAAACTATAAATAAAAATGAATAAAAATAAAAAAAATTGAATTATTTTTTGATAAATTTTATTATAATTTTATAAATAAATAAAATATATATAAAATTTAATTATAAAAAAAAAATATATGAAAATTTTTGAAAAAAATATTTATTCTAAATAAATATTTGTAATATTCTATTATGGATTTTTGAATTAAAAGAATAATTACTTTATTTTTTTTTGAATTTTCCAAAAAAAAAAATTTAAAAAAAATGAAAAAAGTATATATATAATTCCTTATAAATATTTTTTTCTTTTAAATATGATATAAATTTTTAAAATTTATAATTAAATTATAAACATTTCAAAATTTTTTTTTTTTTGAAAAAAATATTATTAAAAAATTTATTATTTATATATATTAAAATAATATAAATAAAAAACAAAATAAAAAAAATAAAAATATATATAATAAAAAATTTTATTTAAAATTAAATAAAAATTTAAAAAAAAATTCAATTTTTTTTTTTTTTCGAAGATCATAAATAATCTGGTAAAAAAAAATAGACCTATTTTTTTAAAAATATATAGGGAAAAAATTTATATTGTTTGATTTTAAATTTTAATTATAAAAATTTACTAGCATTTTCTTTACTTAATTTTTTTTTTTTGAAA